TGCAAAAATAGAACATAAAGTTTCAATATGTCCCTTGCTTAGCTTCTTCCAGCATTCACATCTTAAACAACCATGGCATTACCATAACCAGAAAATTTACATTGTCATAACAGCATTAACCAAATTAACTGTCTCATTCATGTTGGGAACAGGCCCTCAAAGCTGGCCATAAACTGGCCCCAAAATTGGCCATAAACAAAATCTCTGCAGCACTGTGACATGTTCGTGATGGCCATGACGCCCACCCTGGAAGGTTGCCAGTTTACCAGAATGAGGGCAAGGAACACCTGGCCCACCTAGGGTGGAAAACTGCTTAAGGTGTTCTTAAACCACAAACAATAGCATCAGCGATCTGCGCCTTAAGGAAATGTTCCTGCTGCAGATAACTAGCCAGATCCATCCCTTTATTTCAGCCCATCCCTTTGTTTCCCGTAAGGAATACTTTTAGTTCATCTATAATCTATAGAAACAATGCTTATCACTGACTTGCTGTTAATAAACATGTGGGTAAATCTCTGTTCAAGGCTCTCAGCTCTGAAGGCTGTGAGACCCCTGATTTCCCACTCCACACACTATATTTCTGTTTGTGTGTCTTTAATTCCTCTAGCACCACTGGGTTAGGGTCTCCATGACCGAGCTGGTCTCGGCACCTTCAAACATCACCATTTTTTCCACTAATGTTCTTTTAAGAGTCTCAATAAAGATCCCATATTGCATTTATTTATTTTCCCCTGGATTTCTACAATCTGCAGCAGTTCCTCAGCCTTTCCTTATTTTTCATGACCCTGATAGCCCTAAAGAGTATTGATTAGTTATCTTGCTGAATGTCCATCAATTTGTGCCTTGTACATTCTCAGTATTAGACTAGGGGTCTTACATCCTTGAAAAGAGAATCATGGAAATGGTGCCATGTCTTTCTCAGTGCTCCATATTACAGCGTTCATGATGTCAATGTGTCTTATTACTGGTGATATTGACCTTGTTCTTCTCATCTACGTGGTCTCTCCTGGAAATTTCAACTGTAAAACTATAATTATTTTTTCTATAGTGACCAAATATCTCAGGAGAAATACTTTGAGGCTATACAAATATCTTCTCCCCCAAAACCCTTGCCCACTTATTCTAGCACCCTTCAATGGATCACATATGCAATCATCACCACTGTGATATCTGCCTAGTGATAATTTCTATTTCCTTCTTCCTTTATGCATTTATTAATTGCAATTTCACTACAAGGAAAAGCTGTCATATCTCTTCCATATACTTATTTAATTAATTATTTATTTATCATCATCGTTGTTTTATAAATATTTATATTATTCTTTGGGTTATTATCTGACACTGTCATTAGTTATTTTGTTGCTCAAAGCTTTGGCCATTAGGAGCTCCTTCAGATTGACTTCTGTGCTCTTTCAACAACTTCCTCCCATATTTTTTGAGAACTTTCACTTTTTTGGTACCATAAGATGTTTCAAGCTCCTTTTGATTTCCTCTACCCCTGCCCTGGAATGAATCACTTTTCCAAGGATCCCTGATTCTTTAATAGAGGCATGGTGCTTAGAAACCAACATCTGGGCACCAGGTATGCTAATTACTACAGAAGCATTATTGCTTCTAGGCTTCTCAGCAGACAGGACTAGTAAATATTTGTGTATTAGCCTATGTGCACACATATCTATTTTTATATACCTGTGTACGTATATGCATAATGAGTTCATACTGACACCTCAGATTCCAATTCAACATCACAAGGGTCATTTTAGTTTTTTTCCTTTCTTTATTTGTAATTGCCTTCTACAGCAGTAAGGCACCCAGTTTTTATTATCTACTACATATTTACTTACTTGTTCAATTCTAGTACACACAAATTCGTTTCAGGATGTCTTACCCCAATACCCCCATAAGAAAAGCATTTACTGACTAGATAACAGCATTTGTGCACAATTCTTTTCGTCTATATTCTTACAGTATTCAGTCAACTTCCCATTTGCCAAAGTTATTTAGGTTAGTTCTTTTCCCTCCTGCATTCAGTATGGTTATGTTTTTCACTTTTATTACAGGTATTTTCATTTGTTAGTGTTGGGATGACATATTGGATTTCCTCCACATTCTAATTGGGTTTCACTCTTTGTTTATTAATGGCAGTATTTCTTAAGAAAGTATTTCTTTCTATTTATTAATTCCTTAACAACAGGCATTATCATATATACAGTATATTGCTTCATAATATTAGCTGGTCATGACTGTAAGAATGTGCCTGAAATATGTATGTTGATATTTAAATTGGAAAAAATCTATGTCTGTCTTGTGCATTGTGGGGTGCTTTGCTTATTCAGGCAAGCGCCTCATACTTATTCACTTTTTTCTACATACTAGTTCAAATACAGCAGCTGAAATGTTTCAAATGTTTGCACATACCAGGGCTTAATCTGATCATATGCAATGGATTTAATACTTGAAAACAAGAAATTTAATGCCTCCATATGGCCATTAAAACCAGCTGAGGCACTACTATTTGTCATGATGTTGATGATGAGCCCTTTACTGCTTGTGTCTTTTTTATTATTGTTGCCAAGTAACTGAAAAACTCATGCAGCATTGCTAAGGATAAGACCTTTCCCTATTAAGAAGAAAAAGATGACAACCTGCTGTGTGAACAATAGGAAAACTACCCTTATCATTCTTGGCACAAACGCTTCATCACTAAGGGTGTATCTTTACAAAAAAACTCTTTGAAATTTTTCTGTAAATATTCTGTTCCTGTCCACTGACATGAAATTTTTAAAGAAAAAAAAATATGCAAACTCACAGAAAAAAAAATGGAGATAAAATCCAGAAAATGTATTATACATCTGTCTTTATCAAATAGTTGGTATCTAAAGGCTCCACATTAGGAGAGATGGAAGCAGTTATTACTACCACATGGCATCTTGCCCTACTTAATTCCAACAGAAGAAGCCTCCTCCGACTGTGTTGTAGAGAAGATGAAGAATCTCAAGTCAGATCAAAGGCCAAGTTGTGATTACGGTGAAAAGAAGAGAGGAGGATCGCATATTCTTTTTCAGCTATCTATCCTTTTAAGACATAATGTCCCATTTGAAATATTTGCTGCATGAATGTCAAAAAAGTATCAGATGGTAAAATAATAGCGGTAGCTCAAATCTATGAAAAATGGAGGTTCATGGAAGCACAGATACTAAGCTCTTTCAAAACACGTCTTCTTAGTATTCCACAGTGATTCCCCCAAGAATAAAATCACTGACTTAAACTCTCATCTAATATTTAACCCCTTTTCACAAGTAAGAATTTTTTTCATATAACATGGAAATGTAGAAATTGATGCTTTTAGATTTATCTTCATGTCTTGGATTTTGCTAATAGTTAGACATAATCTTGCTCTATTATTTAATAGACCATTTATGTATATGTTTTTCTGTACAGTTGACCCTTAGACAACTCAGGTTTGAACTGTGTGGATCTACTTATACATGGATTTTCTTCTGCCTCTGCCACCCGTGAAGCAGCAAGACCAACTGTTCTTTTTCCATTTTTCTCCTCAGCCTACTCAACATGAAGATGCTGACTATGAAGACCTTTGTGATGATCCACTTCACTAAATGAATAGTAAATATATTTTTCCCCACGATTTTCTTAATAACATTTTATTTTCTCTAGCTTATTTCATTGTAAGAATACAGTATATAATACATATAACATACAAAATATGTGTTAGTTGACTGCGTTACCAGTAAGGCTTCTGGTCAACAGTAGGCTATTAGCAGTTAAGTTTTGGGGGAATCAAAAGTTATGCTCAGAATTTTTAACACCATGGGGTTTGGTGCCCCTAACCCCCATATTGTTCAAGGGTTAACTGTATAATAAACAAGCAAGCATACTATAGGAATTTAAGATGTACAGCAAAACTTGATGTGTCCCTCTTTAAAGCACATGTTCACCCTTAAATATATCTATGTGCTAAAAAATACTATGTGCCTTTACACTGTTAATGTGGAGGTAAATTAGCACAGCCATTATGGAAAACAGCATGAAGGTTCCTCAAAAAACTAAACATACACCTACTATATGACTAGTAATTCCAATTCTGGGTATATAGCCAAAGTAACTGAAATCAGCGTGTTGAAGGGAGATCTGCACTTCCATGTTCATTGCAGCAGTATTTACAATAACCAAGACACAGATTCAACCTAAGTGTTCATCAGCACGAATGAATATAGAAAATGTGGTACATATACACAAAGGGATGCTATTCAGCCTTAACAAATAAGGAATTCCTGTCATTTGTGACAATGTGAATGAACCTGGAGAACTTTATGCTAAGCGAAATAAGGCAGGCACAGAACGACAAATACTACATAATCTCACTTATATGTGGAATCTAAAAAGGTTGAACTCAGCTGTAGCAAGTAGAATGGTGGTTACCCAAGGCTAAGGATGAGGCGAGTATTGGGGAGATGTTGGTCAAAGGATACAAAATTTGTTAGATGGGAGGAATAAATTCAGGAGATCTATCATACAACACGGTGATTATAATTAATAACAATGTATTATATACTTAAAAATTGCTACCACAGTAGATTTCAAATGTTCTAACCACAATAAATGATAAATATGTGAGTAATGATTATGTTAATTAGCTTAGTTTAATCACTTTACAATGTATACATATGTCCAAACATTATTTTCTATATCATAAATATTTACAATTTTAATTTGTCGATTAAAAAATACTAACAGCCTTTCCCAGGAATAGCTCAAATTATTCCTTCTCCATTTAAAAATTCCCTGTAAATAGGCAGTCTAATACCAAAAACTTAAACTTCAGCATCGAATAAGAATACTTTAGAGCTCTAAACATTTTAACTATTCTCATTCATGTACAAATGTGTTAATCATAAGAAAAGGAATGCTAGGCCCTGCCCCGCCCCTGCTCCGTGGCTGCTGGTTTTCTCCGCGGGCACCTCGAGGGGTGACCTGGAGATATGGGGAGTACTGGGGGGAACCCTGGCTGGGTGCGGCTCGCGCTCTGCCTGGCTGACTTAGTGCTATCGCTCTACGCGCTGCACGTGAAGGCCGCGCGCGCCCTGGGCCGGGATTACCGCGCTCTCTGCGACATGGGCACCGCCATTAGCTGTCCTGTGCATCATCTCCTCCAGGTAGGGCAGGGGCTTCGGGTTGGTGCAGCACGTGCTGGGACAGGACAGCATCCTCAATCAATACAATCACATATTCCCTTGCATCTTCTACACACTACAGCTGTTAAATTGCCCGTGGACGCGCTGGGCCTTTGTCCTGCTGCTGCTGAGCTCCCTGCTGTCTCTGGCTGGTTCTGTCTACCTGGCCTGGATTCTGTTCTTCGTGCTCTATGATTTCTGCATCGTTTGCATCACCACCTATGCCATCAACGTGGGCCTGATGTGTCTCAGTTTCCGGAAGGTCCAAGAACCCCAGGGCAAGGCTAAGAGGCACTGAGCCCTCACCCCAAGCCAGGCTGGCCTCATCTGCTTTGCTTTGGCATGTGAGCCTTGCCCAAGGAGGCATATCTGGGCCCCTAGAAGGCCCTAGATGCAGGGCCATCTAGAGTCCCCTCTCCCTCTGCCATACCCACACATGACAATGGACCAAATGTGCCACACGCTCGCTCTTTTTTCCACCCAGTGCCTCTGACTCTGTCCCCAAGGGCTGGTCTCCGAAGCTCTTGCCATTGCCCAAGGAGCGAAGGTTCTGAGCAATACAATTTTTTAAATTAAAAAAAAAAAAAAAAAAGGAATGCTAGTCTATAGAGAAAATAGCTAGAGGACACTTTTCCTGATTTATGTGTTTACCTTCAATTGTCCAGTTGTTAATGCACTATAAATAAATTAGTCAGATTTATTAATGTTTTTATTATTCGTGTTCTTGTTACATAACAACACCAGAGAAGCAGCAGACAATTCTTTATCACAAGGAAAAGCTTTTGTTTCCTTAATACATTTTGACTCATTATAGATTACAAAGCCAAAAGGTTTGGTTTCTTAAAATAGTATAACATCGTGCTGGTATAAAATTATATATGAAAACATAATGGGTGATTCAAAGACTTAGAAGAAGGGTTTGGGCAATAAAAATGTCCAATGTGGTCTGAATATATATGCTAATTTTTATTGTTGGTCACCTTATAAAAGGAGTTCTGTCTGTAACAGTCAGTGCGTTCACCTATAAAACAAACATTTATTGGATATCGAAGAGAAAATTTATCAAATTCTCCTAATTTTTGTTGTAGATGTCAAACTTTAAGTTTGCAACATGCTCACAATTCAATTATGTGTCTTTCATTTTGTTAATCTGGCCTTAGTGTCTGTATCCATGTGCAGTTTTATTATCAGAAACTTGAACAAATGTATGATACAGTATTTCCAAAAGTAACTCAAACTATTTGTCTTAGGTGTGATGAATGCAAATTAATTCTCCCCTCCCTCAGGGTATTTAAGTATAGACTCTTTTACATAAATCATATATTAATATATACAATGTATCTTTGAAAAGTTCTAACATTGAATATGCAAAATTAAAACAAATCCAGCGTTAAAATCAGTTACAAAACTTATACAAGTCACATGTTCAGGGATACTGGAATGAATGAGCTTATAGTCATCATCTCTGAGCTAACATTTCATCTCTCCAAGCCAATGTCTCAAACCAAGAACCTGATGATAAATTTTCCCTCACTGAAGAATAGGGATATCTGTTAGACCTATTTAAAATTTTTTGAATGATGTTCATTAACTCTAGTGATTTTTTCTCTTAAATTGTATCTTGATATTGAATAAATGATACCCTATTGACATTACTCAGTCTGAGAATCCAATATTGTATACAAGTTGTTGTGTGTATCGATGTATTATATATTTTTCCTACTTAGAAAAGGGCCAGCACCTTTCATTATATTTACCAAAAGAGTTTAGGGATATATTGCACAGCATGGTAACTATAGATAATGATAACGTATTGTATAATTCAAAATTGCTAAAAGAATAGATTTTAAATGTTCTCACCACAAAAAATGAGAAGTAGGTGAGATGATAGAATATTAATTATCTTGATTTAATTTTTCCACCATATATACATATATCAAAACATCAGAGTGTACCCGTAAATATGTATATTATTCATCATTAAAAATAAAATAGGCTGGGCACGGTGCCTCATGCCTGTAATCCCAGCACTTTGGGAGGCCGAGGTAGGTGGATTACTTGAGATCAGGAGTTCGTGACCAGCCTGACCAAAATGGTGAAACCCTGTCTCTACTAAAAATAGAAAAAAATAGCCAGGAGTATTGGCACACACCTGTATTCCCAGCTACTTGGGAGGCTGAGACAGAAGAATCGCTTGAACCTGAGAGGCGGAGGTTACAGTGAACTGAGACTGTGCCACTGCACTGTAGCCTGGGTGACAGAGCAAGAGTCCATCTCAAAAAAAAAAAAACAAAAATGAAGTGTAGATGTAAGATTATTAAATGTTTGATCTAAATCAAGATTCTGTCTTGATTCAGGTAGAGGGGAATGCATGCTATGAGACCTTCAACAATGACCACTACAGTGGTACACTGCTGTGTATTTTACTAGATTGATAATATTTAAGATGTTGATGGATCATTATCTACAACAGGTTATGTGATAAAATTGTATTTTACAAGCTGTTCTGTTTTATGGCTATGAATGTGTATATATATCTCATTTTATTACAGTTCTATATCTTTAAAATAAAAAATTCACTGAATCAAAAAGAAAGGCAATATTTAATTAGAAATAAAATGAGTTCTAAATCTTTCATGAATGTATTCTGTGCAGGGAATTCTTAATGCTTTCCATTATTATGAGAGATAATATCAAGCCCAATTATTTCAAGTCAGGCTAAATCTTTCTACATTGAATGTGCTGAGATAAAAGCTCTTCAGTTTATAGGTGTTTTACCTAGGGCATAGGCCTTGGTCTTTGAAATATTTTCAGTGAAATTTATTTTTCATTATGCATTAAAGTTCTACTAAGTTTCTCACATGGAGCTTCCAATTTGGTCTGTCTTTACAAGGTTGGCTAGCTAAAAATAAAGTTTTGTCAGTTGCTCCTCTGTTTGTTCTCATATATATTTCTCTCCCTTTCCAATTTTGTATCACATGGGGGCTAACCCCAGGAGAAATACTTCTCCCAGATTCGTGGGTCAGCTGATTTTAACTATAGTTTGCCAGTTGGAGACACTATCAGAAGAAAGAAGAACGAAGGGAGAAGAAATGGTATTTTTCACAATCTGCCAATGAGGCATGTTCAACACTAGCTGCTTCTCTATGGCTGCAGTTCCTACAAAAAATGATTCAAAATTCCTCCAGGAGATCCTGGTTACTGGGCTTTGGTAACCGCAACCTCTTTATCTCTTCAACAAAGGTGTTGTAGTAGCTTTTGAGATGGCTAATCTCTGATTTCCCTCATCGTTTCCTGTTTGTTTTTTTAGCAATTCCTTCGCCTATATAATCTATTTCCAATATTAAATTTCTTCTGTCTTAAGTATTCTGAAGGATCTCTGATTCCAGACTGGAACATAACTGATACATAATTATGCACAGTTTTATTTGATTTACCTGTACCTAACCCTCTATTATCTGTTTTCTGTTCCCACATTCCCAAATTTGAAATTGCTCTGACAATATTATTAATAGCATATGTATTGCCAAATCCAGTGGGTATATTTTAGTTCACTGGATACTTCTGCTTTCTTTGACACCGCTGACAACTCTTTTTCATAACTTTTGTATTTCATTTATTTCTACAGTGCTCTTTTTTGTTTCTACCCCCAATCATTTGGCTTAATTCTTTTCATGCTCAATTTTTTAAAACAATGTTATTTTCTCACATCTTATTTTTATGCTCTACTTGGAAGTATTCAGCTAAACTTAAGATCTTATGTTCCATTTAAATGCTGATGGTATCCGAATTAATTTTTCCATCACTAAATGTATTCTTACATTTCCTAAGCATGTAACTAGGCATTTGTTGGATAATTTCAAAAATCTAACTTATTACCTTATACTTTCCAGAAACACACACACAGAGACACTAAACCAAACAACCAACCACAATACCCCTGCCCCGTTCTGTTGATTATCTTGTTGATGTCACCATAATCCACCTAAACACCCAAGACAAAAATGTGTGGTTCATTACTGACCATTGTGTCTGCAAAGAGTCTTGCCTCATGTTATTCATGCTGTGTGTAGCCACCTCCCACCTGTATAACCAGTAAGATATTGCACAAATGATTTCAAGGCTAGATTGTAAAATGGATTCCAGCTTATGCCTTTTCCTTCTTGAATCATGGGTTGTAGGCAAAGCCAGTTGCCATTTCATAAGAACACTCAAGCAACACTATGGATCTATTCGTTGGCAAGGAAATTAGTTCTCCTGCCATAACCAGCAAGGAACTGAAGCTCTTGCTAACAGCTATGTGAATTAGTTATTTTGGAAGCAGATCCTCCAACTCCAGTCAAGCCAGCTGATATGTGGCACTAGTTGACATCATGATTGCGACCATATGAGAAGATTCAGGCCAAAGCCACCCAGGTAAGCTGCTCTAGAATCCAGACCTACAGAAACTGTACGGGATAATACATGTTTATTGCTGTTTCATAGCTGCTAAGTTTTGGGTAATTTATTAGGATAACCAATAGAACTACTCTGTTTCTCTTATTCTTTACTAATCATCAAGTTCTGTCAATACTATTGCCCAAATATTTCTGAAATCTACTCTTTCATCTTCAAACACTACTGTTCTAGTCATTATCAACTCTAGCTTGAATTATTTCAGTGGCCCTCAAAATGATCTCTTGTTCCAGTGTGGTGTTTTGCAAATCCATCCTGCTATTCCACTCTCAAAGTGATTTATGTGGAATTCAAATTAACCAGGCTTCTTTTATACTTAAAAACATTCGGTGGGTTTTTTTTTCTTCAAAAGATAAAAGGAAAGTACTTGCCATGATGTAAAAAGTCTTAGGTAATCAGAAACGCTTTTTGTTTTTTTCACTCCAACTTTATTTCTTGCAACTTTTCAGTACTTATTTTTGTGTGCTGAAATACTGAACTGCTTTAGACCTTGATAACCAGCAGCTTCATATCTGTGTGTCACTTCTCCTAAATTTCCTTTTTTTAGAAGCGCCCTGTCTTTTTCCTGATTAATTCATTATCAACTTTTGAGACCTAACTCAAAAATTATTTCCTCCAGGTAGACTTCCATAACTCCTGGAAGTCAGATTAACTATTCTCCTTTTGTTAACCTAAAGTACCATTCACATTCTTCTAACATAATACGTACTTTATCATAATAAAATTCCTTAAGCAGTGGATTTCTCCACTACTATGTGTGAAAGATCAAAGAGTCATATTGTGTTTGAATAGAAATCTACTGGTTGCGTGCTTT